TTTCTGCTCTTCTTTATTTCTACATAATGAGATCTCTGTTTACTCTCAGCACTGCGTGTACTATAGTCATCCCTGTATCTCTGATTTCCTCCCTAAATTAGAGCCTAAGTCACTTCATCATGTCATATCTAATTCCCTCCAGTCTCCATTTTCTTATGACTGCATGTTTCCGTCAAATAGAAATATTAAATACATCCCGGGCATCCTTTCCGTTTCTTCTATTTAATGTCCAGATCATCAGAGGGGGCTTTAAAGTTCAGGTCTATGAAGAGGGTGGTTGTGGTTTCCTCCAGTCAGCTCCTCCCCTGTTACTGCACACGCTCAGAAGGTCCTATCTTAATGATGGTCAAGCCGGTCAGGGTTCAGAGTGGGCCTCTCGTCAGAGTAAAGCAGGAGAAAAAGGAGAGGGAGACGGCTGCTGGCTGCTGGCTGCCCTCTGCACAGCGTCATAAGAGGCTTACTGAGGTATTTAGGTTCTCTTCACTGAACTCAAAGACACGGCCAGGACCTGAGTGCTGCGGAAAGAAGATCAAAGTTTAATAAAAGTTCTGAACCTGAATCAAGAGTCACAAGAGTCATAGATCATAAAAGCATGTTCACCAGTTTACCGCTGCTTCAGTTTAATCAGTCTGCTTCTGAGCTCAGTCAAAGATGTTCTCTCGTGAAGACCTACCACTCCTCTACTTTTCTCTGACACTCTTCAGAGAAGAGCGTCTGTCTCAGAGAACATCTTTGAGCAGTCGAATCGTTTACTACAGAAACACAAACTGATCAGCAGGAAACAGTTTCAAACTGAGCTGCAGAGAGCCTAGAGGTCACAGGATCCAACCTGATCAAATTAGTCATTAAAGAGCTTTATATTAAACAGTTACAATAAACTGTGACTTCAGAACAAATGAAAGTGACAATTACTTCAGCGTGGCAGCTGCCATCTTAGATCCACTTCCCCTCCCCTCCTTAGAATATAAAGTTTTACCTGGTTACCTTGAAGTCCCCAGACATCCGGAGGTCTGTCATCCCTCGACTACTGTCATCTCGAGGAACCGATCCTTCCACGCTTCAGGAGCATCAAATTGAAGCTGAGAAAAAGTGTTTTCAGGCGCCTGTAACCTGCAGTGCTAATCTCCTTACAGCTAATCTGCCCTGTAATAAGCTGAGAAATCTCCAACCCCCCTCCCATTCACCAGCTGGACCATCGGCAGGAATGTACAGTGTGCCCACACTCTGAACATGAAAATGTAGTGTATGGAGGAAAACATAACAGGCAATAAAGTCCTAATATGAGTCCCGGACAGGAGGCGGGCCATGTTAATGATTGATGGGAGGAGGGACTTGCCAGCATGTGGTCCACAACAATGATCCCCTTAATCCTACGAGACAAGGAAGGTCAAGAACTACCTTGATGTTTTACAATAAGTAACATTTATTAATATGAAATGGATGTCATATTAATTCCATAGTACATTTAGAGACTGTAGGTACCACGAGCAGGTCTGATAACTGAAGGCTCTACCTCCCATAGTACATTTAGAGACTGTAAGTACCACGAGCAGGTCTGATAACTGAAGGCTCTACCTCCCATAGTACATTTAGAGACTGTAGTACCACGAGCAGGTCTGATAACTGAAGGCTCTACCTCCCATAGTACATTTAGAGACTGTACCACGAGCAGGCCTGATAACTGAAGGCTCTACCTCCCATAGTACATTTAGAGACTGTACCACGAGCAGGATTGATAACTGAAGGCTCTACCTCCCATAGTACATTTAGAGACTGTACCACGAGCAGGTCTGATAACTGAAGGCTCTACCTCCCATAGTACATTTAGAGACTGTACCACGAGCAGGCCTGATAACTGAAGGCTCTACCTCCCATAGTACATTTAGAGACTGTAGGTACCACGAGCAGGTCTGATAACTGAAGGCTCTACCTCCCATAGTACATTTAGAGACTGTAAGTACCACGAGCAGGTCTGATAACTGAAGGCTCTACCTCCCATAGTACATTTAGAGACTGTACCACGAGCAGGCCTGATAACTGAAGGCTCTACCTCCCATAGTACATTTAGAGACTGTACCACGAGCAGGCCTGATAACTGAAGGTCTACCTCCCATAGTACATTTAGAGACTGTACCACGAGCAGGCCTGATAACTGAAGGCTCTACCTCCCATAGTACATTTAGAGACTGTAGGTACCACGAGCAGGTCTGATAACTGAAGGCTCTACCTCCCATAGTACATTTAGAGACTGTAAGTACCACGAGCAGGTCTGATAACTGAAGGCTCTACCTCCCATAGTACATTTAGAGACTGTAAGTACCACGAGCAGGTCTGATAACTGAAGACTCTACCTCCCATAGTACATTTAGAGACTGTAGTACCACGAGCAGGCCTGATAACTGAAGGCTCTACCTCCCATAGTACATTTAGAGACTGTAGGTACCACGAGCAGGCATGATAACTGAAGGCTCTACCTCCCATAGTACATTTAGAGACTGTAGGTACCACGAGCAGGCCTGATAACTGAAGCTCTACCTCCCATAGTACATTTAGAGACTGTAGGTACCACGAGCAGGCATGATAACTGAAGGCTCTACCTCCCATTGTACATTTAGAGACTGTAGGTACCACGAGCAGGCCTGATAACTGAAGGCTCTACCTCCCGTAGTACATTTAGAGACTGTAGGTACCACGAGCAGACCTGATAACTGAAGGCTCTACCTCCCGTAGTACATTTAGAGACTGTAGGTACCACGAGCAGGCCTGATAACTGAAGGCTCTACCTCCCGTAGTACATTTAGAGACTGTAGGTACCACGAGCAGGTCTGATAACTGAAGGCTCTACCTCCCGTAGTACATTTAGAGACTGTAGGTACCACGAGCAGGTCTGATAACTGAAGGCTCTACCTCCCGTAGTACATTTAGAGACTGTAGGTACCACGAGCAGGTCTGATAACTGAAGGCTCTACCTCCAATAGTACATTTAGAGACCGTAGGTACCACGAGCAGGCAGTGTTCCTCAGTTGGTAATATGTTCTTCAGGTGTTCTTCAGGTGTGTTTCTCAGATGGTAATGTGTTCTTCAGGTGTTCCTCAGGTGTGCTCCTCAGGTGGTCATGTGTTACTCAGGTGTTCCTCAGGTGTGTTCCTCAGATGGTAATGTGTTCCTCAGGTGTTCCTCAGGTGTGTTCCTCAGTTGGTAATGTGTTCTTCAGGTGTTCCTCAGGTGTGTTTCTCAGATGGTAATGTATTCTTCAGGTGTTCCTCAGGTGTGTTCCTCAGGGTTTCCTAGGGGGTAATGTGTTCCTCAGGTGGTAATGTGTCCCTCAGGTGTTCCTCGGGTGTGTTCCTCAGGTGTGTTCCTCTGAACTTGACAACTGACTAAACATATTCTGTATTTTGGTGCTCTACAGTAGCCCTCCGTCTGATTCCACTGTTCTGTTCAGGTTGTTTACCAGCTGATGGATTATTTCTGGAGAAATATAAACATCTCTGACCAGCAGAGGGCAGCACACGCCTTCATCTGCTCGTCTTCCTCACAGAAAAACAAATAAAAACTCTCCTGTTATTAACATGTAGAACATTTGATGAATTATCAAAGTGTGAATAAATATCTTGATTGTAAATTTATCAGTAATATATTTAATGGAACAATAATTTGAAATTGTTAATATTTACAAACATGTGACAACAGTTGTAAAATGTCAATAAAGTTTTTATTTTAACTCAGAAAATTTAGATTTCTTCAAAGAAACATTAAATGTTTATGATATTTACAGACTGAATGTTTACTGTGATTTGTATTTTGTAAACATCGGTACAAAACATAAACAAGACTGTTTTTGTGTTTAATGACGTCACTGAGATGATACCCCCCCCGCCCCCGCCCTCCTTCCTGGGGGCGGTACCAGTCTCTCCCTGCTCCTGTCAATCACGCCATGACGTCATGCGTCCAGAGCGTTTCCGGTGCAGGAAGGCGGGGTCTCCTGTTCCTCAGGGAGCGACAGACATGTGGGTCAAGCTAGCGAAGAGCAGCAGGTACCGACTTCCGGTGACGGGATATTCTGTTTTCACAATAAGAGTACGCAGAGGGTTAGTTTTATAAAATATCTGATTAACTCAGTGTTTATTATTTTAAAGAGTTATCGTTTTCTTATTATGGTATGCCCTCCATTGAACATTTAAATATAAACAATGAATTTATAAATGAAAATATGAAATGTATTATTTACACAGTGACTCATGTTTAAACTTCAATGACACGTTTGTCAGACTGATAAATCTAACATATATGTCTATCATTATGAATAAAACAGGAACATGCCTCTCTTCACTTCTCTTTCTCTTGGGTTATAATGTTTTAAAAAATGTTCTGACACTTATTTCATATCTTTTTGTTTTAGTGTCATTATTAGAACAAAATAATCATTTTCAGATTCACAGATGCATGTGCACCTTTACTCAGTGACTCAGAGTTTTTTTTTAATTTAACCTTTATTTATCCACGCCCTAACCATTGCGCCACCAGCGCGCCCCAATAAATTGTTTAATTAAAAAAATGTTTGATAAATTGTTTAATAAATTGTTTAATTAAAACATTGTTTGATAAATTGTTTAATAAATTGTTTATGTAAAAAATAGTTTGATAAATTGTTTAATTAAATTGGATTAGTGGATTAGACAAGGCGGACTGTGGCTGTTTGACGTTTTATTGTGACACTCTAGGACACCGGAAGTGTGTCTGCGGCTGCGCAGCTTGCTCCCGATGATCCGATCCTGATTCAGCCATATTCCCAGCGAGCAGCCACACCGGCAGCCTCCTCTAACACCCAGAAACCGTCTGAAGACGCCCGCGGCGCGCCCTCCCGGTCTTAACGGTTGGTATTGTTCGACCCGAGTCCGTCCCGGTTCCGTCCCGGTTCCCCCGGACATGTTACCGAGCTGAGGGACCTGCGTGAGGACATGGATCCGCCGCGGACAGCCTGAGAGAGGCGACGGTCTGACCGACATCCCGAATCTGAGAGCAGAGTCCAGATTGACCGGGATCACGGACCGGGGAGGGCCCACGTACTGAACCGCTCCAGACACGACGGACTGACGGAAAGACGGAAACCGGCGGACACTCACCGACACACCGACGACCGGACTCTATAAAATGTCGGGAATGTTCTCCAGGAGCTAACGAGCTAGCCGCAGCTAGCAGGCTGAGCTCGGCTCGGCTCGGCAGGACTCGGCAGGAGTCGGAGGCTGGGCGGCGGGGAGCTCTCGGACTGTGCGGCGGGGCTTGTGTCGTACTGTAGCCGGGGCGGAGGAGCTGTTCCCGGGCACGATGTCGGCTCAGGACCGCCTGAAGAGACTGGAGGAGCTGCTGCTGGAGCAGAAGGAGGCGGGCTGCCTGAGTGTGGAGGCGCTGCTCGACCTGCTGCTCTGCTTCTGCGCAGAAGTGTCCCAGACCCCGCTCCGCAGGGACAAGCACGTCCATGACTTCCTGGATTGGGGTAAGAACCTGACCTGGACCAGGACCTCCTCCAGGACTTAGTCTTTGTATCGAAAACCTAATAAAAGCAACATAGAAGATACCTGAGCCCTTCAGGAGCCACTGTGGGGCCCAGGTGATCCCAGGGGACACACAGGTGATCCCAGGGGACACACAGGGGACACACAGGGGGCCCACAGGTGATCCCAGGGGACACACAGGGGACACACAGGGGGCCCAGGTGATCCCAGGGGACACACAGGTGATCCCAGGGGACACACAGGTGATCCCAAGGGACACACAGGGGACACACAGGGGGCCCAGGTGATCCCAGGGGACACACAGGGGGCCCAGGTGATCCCAGGGGACACACAGGGGGCCCACAGGGGACCTTAGAGGGTCAGGGGACCTTGAGGAGGTCAATCAGAGTCTGAAGGGGGCATGGGGGTGTTCTCCAAAGTTTTCCGGGTATTTGAAGGTGTGAGGGTGAAACGAGGACGCCGTGGCTCCACGCTGCAGCTCCACGCCGTGGCTCCACGCTGCAGCTCCACGCCGTGGCCCACTTAGTCCCGCTCTGTCCTGGTTCAGCCTGACCCTGTTACAGACGTGTCCCGGTTTATTCTGGTCTGGTTTCAGGGTGGGCAGAGTGAGGACGTGTGTCTGTCAGTCAGTTACCATGGTAACACGGATGCTTCAGGCCACGCCCCCTTCCTTCTCCACGTTACCTGCTCTTTGTTTTGCACCTTCACCTGCTCCTATACAGTCATGACATCACAGCTGAAAGTGTGTGTGTGTGTGTGTGTGTGTGTGTCCCAGTTTAGAGTAGCAGATGAATTAAATATGAGGAGCAGTCTGCAGGGTCCCAGTGCCCCCCCCCCCAGAGTATTAGTGTTTACTTTTACACTCTGAGTATTTCTGTGTTCATGTATTGATCCTGATGATCAGTCAGCTGCCGTGATGATGTCACTTCCTCCCTCTGAGCTATTAATAACATGTCTACAGAACATTTAAATAAAGTTTGAGCTCTTTGAAACATCCTCTGTGTGTCACACACCTGTGATGTGTGATGCACACACACACACACACGTACACACACACATGTACACACACCTGTGTCTGTGTCTGTGTATCCTCAGTAGGACATTATGATGTCACTGTAATAATATATGAAGGTAATAACTGAGGTTTGTTTTCACAGCAGAGACCCTCGCCCAAATCTGAGAACGTTTGACCCCAAAAGTCCGGTTCATTGACGGGAGGGGGGAGGAGTCTGATGTGAAAATGCCGTTAAACTTAATGACACCTTGGTTGTGTCCTAGATCCCTCCCTCCTCCCACTGTAGTGAACTTTAAAGTGCATTCGTTCAGCACGATGAAAAAACATGTTAGACGCTACTCGCTCATTCGCCACACGCCAACAGTAGTTACATCATCGCTGTCAGCCCGTCGCCGCCCGAGGATCAACAATAACGATGGTCACAGTTCCAGATAATGAATAAATGTTGGAACTGGTTTATTGGCGCTCTCAGACTCTCGTGTCTCGTCTTCATCGGGACAAACTGACGCCGACCATCTTTTACTTTGAAATAAAACAAAGACTTAAAAATGACCTCTGTGTTCACGCTCCTGAGAGCAGTCCAATCAAACGGCATTCTCCTAAAATCTCTGAACCACAATGCATGATGGGATATATTGCTTGGATAGTGACCATCGGTTGTACACCATCTTTCACAATGCATTGTGGGATACCGTGTGTGGACTATAAAGTGTATGATAAGGCTCACTGCATCACGGCGTGTTGACCGTGTAGCGAGCAGTGACTCATATGAACGCTGCTCCACATTAACGTGTGTCCTCTCTCCTCAGTGAAACCGTTCACCAGCACCGTGAAGAACATGAGGCTCCACAGAGACGACTTTGAGATGCTCAAGGTGATTGGACGAGGAGCTTTTGGAGAGGTAAGACTTCCTGTTCCTCCACGATGCCATATAGTGTAAACAGACAACAAGCACCCCCCCATGTCACTCCTCCCGCCTCCTGTCACTCATCACTCCTCCCGCCTCCTGTCACTCATCACTCCTCCCACCTCCTGTCACTCATCACTCCTCCCGCCTCCTGTCACTCATCACTCCTCCCACCTCCTGTCACTCATCACTTATCCCGCCTCCTGTCACTCATCACTCCTCCCGCCTCCTGTCACTCATCACTCCTCCCGCCTCCTGTCACTCATCCCGCCTCCTGTCACTCATCCCGCCTCCTATCACTCATCCCGCCTCCTGTCACTCATCACTCATCCCGCCTCCTATCACTCATCCCGCCTCCTGTCACTTATCCCGCCTCCTGTCACTCATCACTCATCCCGCCTCCTGTCACTCCTCCTGCCTCCTATCACTCATCCCGCCTCCTGTCACTCATCACTCATCCCGCCTCCTGTCACTCATCCCGCCTCCTGTCACTCATCACTCACCCTGCCTCCTGTCACTCATCCCGCCTCCTGTCACTCACCCCGCCTCCTGTCACTCATCCGCCTCCTGTCACTCATCCCGCCTCCCATCACTCATCCCGCCTCCTGTCACTCATCTCGCCTCCTGTCACTCATCCCCCCATGTCACTCATCCCGCTCCTGTCACTCATCCCGCCTCCTGTCACTCATCCCGCCTCCTGTCACTCATCCCGCCTCCTGTAACTGATCCCCCCATGTCACTCATCCCGCCTCCTGTCACACATCCGTCTCCTGTCACTCATCCTGCCTCCTGTCACTCATCCCGCCTCCTGTCACTCATCCCCCCATGTCACTCATCCCGCCTCCTGTCACCCATCACTCCTCCCGCCTCCTGTCACTCATCACTCCTCCCGCCTCCTGTCACTCATCACTCATCCCGCCTCCTGTCACTCATCCCGCCTCCTGTCACTCATCACTCATCCCGCCTCCTGTCACTCATCCCCCCCATGTCACTCCTCCTGCCTCCTGTCACTCATCACTCATCCCGCCTCCTGTCACTCATCACTCATCCCGCCTCCTGTCACTCATCACTCACCCCGCCTCCTGTCACTCATCACTCACCCCGCCTCCTGTCACTCATCCCCCCCATGTCACTCATCCCACCTCCTGTCACTCATCCCCCCCCATGTCACTCATCCCGTCTCCTGTCACACATCCCGTCTCCTGTCACTCATCCCACCTCCTGTCACTCATCCCGCCTCCTGTCACTCATCCCGCCTCCTTTCACTCATCCCGCCTCCTTTCACTCATCCCATCTCCTGTCACTTATCCTGCCTCCTGTCACTCATCCCGCCTCCTGTCACTCATCACGCTGACGGCCCCGGACTGACGTAACCATCTGGTTATATTAATGATAATGATGTCAGAGTCATATTTACAGACTTTATTTACAGAGCTTTTATTTTAAAGGTTTGAAGTGTTTTCCTGATTAATGGAAAGTTTGAGCGCCACACCTCTGTTATATACCGCGGCGCAGTTACCACCGACTCTGCTGACGACCGTGTTTTCACTCTGTGCAAGGCCTCAGAACACGGCGCCCCACGTGGCGTCTTTGTGATTCATTCGCTCAGGGTTCTTGGTTGTGAAAGCAGCGTTACTGTTGGAGCTGATTTCAACTGTCATTGGGCGAGAGGCGGGGTCACACCCTGGACTGGTCGACTGGTCGCCAATCAGTCGTGTGTGTGTGTGTGTGTGTGTGTGTGTGTGTGTGTGTGTGTGTGTGTGTGTGTGTGTGTGTGTGTGTGTGTGTGTGTGTGTGTGTGTGTGTGTGTGTGTGTGTGTGTGTGTGTGTGTGTGTGTGTGTGTGTGTGTGTGTGTGTGTGTGTGTGTGTGTGTGTGTGTGTGTGTGTGTGTGTGTGTGTGTGTGTGTGTGTGTGTGTGTGGTCCACATACCAGAGGAAAGGTGTGTCAGGGGGCCACACCTGCTTGCAGCCTCAGGATATAAACACACACACAGGTTCGTGTGTGTTTGTGAGGACCGTCTGCTCTCTGGTCCTCACAAACACACAGATACAAAATAAACACAGACACAAACACACACACACAGCTCGACCAATCTCTGTGTGTGTGAGATTTCAGGTGTGTTTCTGTGTCACAACAGTTTGACAGGTTATTGGAACCTGCTCAGGTTCACTCCTCTCGGCCAATCACATCCCTGCACTGCACACACCTGGTGAGGAGTACCTGAGGCAGTGTTTGATAACAGGGTCTCTCTCGCCCTCTCTCTCTCTCCCTCTCTCTTGCCCTCTCTCTCTCGCCCTCTCTTGCCCTCTCTCTCACCCCTCTCTCTTGCCCTCTCTCTCTCCCTCTCCCTCTCTCTCTCGCTCTCTCTTGCCCTCTCTCTCTCTCACCCCTCTCTCTCTCTCTCAGGCAGTGTTAATGTCTCTCGCCCTCTCTCTCAGTCAGTGTTAATGTCTCTCGCCCCTCTCTTTCTCAGTCAGTGTTAATGTCGCTCGCCCTCTCTCTCAGACAGCGTTAATGTCGCTCGCCCCTCTCTCTCAGTCAGTGTTAATGTCTCTCGCCCCTCTCTCTCTCAGGTTGCCGTGGTGAAGATGAAGCACACAGAGAGAGTGTATGCGATGAAGATTCTCAATAAGTGGGAGATGTTAAAGAGAGCTGAGGTGAGTTTCTGTCTGTGTGTCATGTAGCCATCATCTATAATGGGTAAATAGATAGTTAATTAACCATTAGTTAATAGTTATTTACTGTTAACAAACAATGAAATGATAGTTAATAATGTTTGCTAATGATTTGTAATGCTATAGTTTATGTTATGTTAACAGTTTATTAATGAACACATAACATTTCATACACTTTATAAAGTGTTTGTTAATCATGACCAAATGATTTATAAACCTTTAACAGACGGTTTATAAAACATCTATAAACATTACAGAGACGCATGGACCAGATATTTATTCATGGTTTGTAAATATTTTATAAAGCGTCTATTAACATTATTTGGATGTTATTATAAAGTTGGAACTGAAGATTATAATCCCTTATTAATACTTTATAAAGCATCGATAAATATGTTTTAGATAATTAATATTTTAGCAATGATTAATAATTGGTTTATTAACCATCTACAATCATTATCTGGATTATAATGTTGGAACTGATGTTTATAATCTGTAAATAGTTAATAATGTGTAGAGCATCTATTAAATTTATTTGGATGGTTATTATAAAGTTGGAATTGATGTTTATAAACTAACAATTGCTTTATACATGGTTTATAAACCATTCATAAACGAAATGTGAATGACTGTTATAACATTGCAACTAATGCTAGTAATATTTATAGTTAATGAAATATTAGGTGATTTATAAAACATCAAGTAAAACACATTTATAAACAGACAGTCTTGGGACTTTAAAAAAAGTTAACACAACAACTCAAAAATGACAACTTTATTTTAATGCAACCGTTTTTTCCCCAATTCTATGTGTATTGCTTCTGTAGCCCTTACAGTTTAGTAATGTTCCAGACAGTATTAGAATTTGATCTTATATGTTGACATCAATGTGAATGTAGACCAATATGAAAAGAGAATAAAGAGAATTTCCACACCAGAATGAAAGTTTGAACCTGTATATTAAATACTCAAAATATGGTTCGTACATACATAGATAAACAGGTATGACAGATATGAAAAATAACAAACTAAAATAATAAAGTGCGAACGAAAGGAAAACCCTGTTTGTCCCTTGAGTTCAGTTTTCAACCGTTGGGGCCCTTATGAATGTGTGTCAGTGTTTGTCATACCACATGATGAGCAAGGAAGGCAAAATCCTTCTGAAGTCAAAATCACAGTCATGATCCAGCTCACCATCCAGCCAACAGGACTGGGAATCTGTGCAATCTGGAAACACTGGAATCTGTGAATATCTGGATCTGAGGACAATCTGGAATCCGTATTCCTCTGGAATGGAGTGGGCTCTCCGATGATTTCAAACCCGTCACCAAAACCTGACCTAGAAATGAGGCCAGATCATTTCTCTCAGTTATCATTCTGTAATCAAATCAATTACTACAGGCTGCTATGAAAATAAAAAGAGCTTAATATTTTTGTAAACCCATAAGGCAAATCAAAATCTCAGTTTAGTTTTTCTTTTCCAGAATGGAAAAGTAACATTTCCCTTTTATAACCAACAGACAAAATCATTAGCTTTTCCACAGTCAATAGACAGTATCACGCTAACTTTATTATGGCTGATGACCATATTAGCATTTTAATACCACAATCTCACATTATCATTGAAATCGTTAGCACTTTAACATGGCCACACCAATTAGCGACAATTAGCATAAATGCTAACGACTTTGGCGCTAGCCAAACAGGCTACATTAACAATTCACCACTGAAGTTGAATTCACTGCCTTAGCTCAGCGATGACGGTGGATTCAGGCACAGCTCTCCTCAGTATGGGCAATATACATGAATGAGTTCTATTTAATTAAATATGATTTCTCGTCTCATCAAGTGAGTAAATGCAGCTGTTCACGTTACAGCAGCAAAAGAGCTAACGCGGGAGTAAAAGAAGGCGTAGCCTGAGCGAAGGCTAGCTGATAGCCGATTGGTCGGCTCACTGACTTGTAGAGTTCACCGATTGGTTCACTTACAAACTCATCAAATCACTCAAAGACAACAACAGAAAGTTAACCCTTAGTAGTGACTTGATCAGAGAGCTAGATATGATAGTATTTGTTGTTTCAATCTTCTTTAGGCATAAAATCATTTCTAACTATCTTTCAATGACTTTATATCTCGAGTTACACCTCCACTACATATGTTATTTTTAAAATAAAGGAATGTTTTAAAAATTAAAGTGTCATAGTTAAACCTGGGCTACACTAACTTAACATTAACTTAAAGGTTTGTAAAATGTTGTGTTTTCAATACTGTTATTGGTGTGCAAACAATTAGTCTTCTATAGGTCATCTATCAAACATTTAATGGGGCGCACAAAATGGCGTGGATAATGATTGTAGATGGTTTATAAACCAATTATTAATCATTGATAAAATATTAATTATCTATCTAAAACATATTTATAGATGCTCTACAAAGTACAAAGTATTAATAAGGGATTATAATCTTCAGTTCCAACTTTATAATAACATCCAAATAATGTTAATAGACGCTTTATAAAATATTTACAAACCATGAATAAATATCTGGTCCATGTCTCTCTGTAATGTTTATAGATGTTTTATAAACCATCTCTTAAAGGTTTATAAATCATTTGGTCATCATTAACAAACACTTTATAAAGTGTATGAAATGTTATAATGTGTGCATCAATAAACTGTTAACATAACAAACTATAGCATTACAAATCATTAGCAAACATTATTAACTATCATTTCATTGTTTGTTAACAGTAAATAACTATTAACTAATGGTTAATTAACTATCTATTTACCCTTATTAACCCTTTATAGATGATGGTTATTATAAAGTGTTACTGATGTGAGAGTGTGATGTTAGCGTGTTGTGTTGATCATGTTAGCGTGTTGTGTTGATCATGTTAGCGTGTCCTGTGTACAGACGGCGTGTTTCAGAGAGGAGCGAGACGTCCTGGTGAAAGGAGACAGTCAGTGGATCACAACTCTGCACTATGCGTTCCAGGATGAAAACTTCCTGGTTAGTACGACTGCTGCTGTTACTGCTGCTGTTACTGCTGCTAACATTGCTGCTAACACTGCTACTAGTAGAACTGTTGCTATGCTAACACTGCTGCTAACACTACCGCTAACACTGCTACTAGTAGAACTGTTGCTATGCTAACACTGTGTATCACCGCAGTACCTGGTGATGGATTACTACGTGGGCGGCGACCTGCTGACTCTCCTCAGTAAGTTTGAGGATCGTCTGCCGGAGGACATGTCCAGGTTCTACGTCGCCGAGATGGTGCTCGCCATCCACTCCATCCATCAGCAGAACTACATCCACAGGTACTGGTTACCCTACCTGTACTGGTTGTGTTTGTCACACTGGGTACTGGATACATTGGTTACCATGGTTACCCTACCTGTACTGGTTGTGTTTGTTGTTATATGAACTCATATTGCCTTAAATCAAGACGTGTAGAGAAACGATGGGAGTTGGACTTATACACACTCGTACATGTACACATACACTCAGCCAATCATGCCTCGACGGTCCCGCCTCGCCCCTGTCCCTCCTCTGTTACTACCTCAGATGGCTGCACAGAAAGGGCAATAGCTTCGTTCCCCCATTACCAATCCGTGATATTCAGAGAGAGAGAGAGAGAGAGAGAGAGAGAGAGAATCAGAGGAAGTGGGCTCTTCCTGGCAGCAGTGTCCTCTGGGAACTGTAGTTATTTCCTGTCCAGCCAGCTCAGCCTCGACCTTACTTCCTGTGCAGAAACGGACACTGGGCCGCATTCCATTCGTGTTTCTATACCCTCAGTCCTCCCAGTATGAGTCCCAGTACGACTCTACACTTAAAGGTCCTATATTCTTCTTTTTCTGGTTTTATCTGCTCTTTAGTGTGTTTTCTAAGTGTCCTGTGCATGTTTAGTCACATCTATGAGCAAAAATTCAAAGTCTGCGGAAACGCAGCTTCTCCTACGTCCTCCTGTTAGCTGTAGCATTAGCTGCATGTAACGCTCGGTTCTAGCCCCCCTCGATAAAAATGTGTCAGTGCGATGTCATTGTCAGTGTGAGATCACTGATCTAAGCCCATTGGCTCGTTGTGGCCTAGCAGCTCATGTTGAAATTTCCGAGAAGCGTGCTGAGCAACTGACCAATAACGACAGAGCGGATCGGCAGACCAATCAGAGCAGACTTGGCCCACGTGGGGTCTAACAATGTGGGCTCAACAGAGTGTAGCTGACGGACTCAGAGCGTAGAGGGAGCAAGGAGGAGCAGTTCATGAAAACAGACACTTTTTTAAAACTTTATCTATTGTGAACGTACAAAAGTAGGAACATAGATTAAATATATGAACCCCAAAAAGGGCAGATTATGGACTCTTTAAAGGTGTTGTAGTCTTTTGGGGACTTGTGTCTTTAGAGTCAGTCCTAATAATTCAGAGGAAAACAAACTGCTGCTGTAATCACATTGTTTATACTGTATGATGGTAGCAGCAGAAAAACACTTCTTCTCCTTTTTAAGGGTCATTACAGTAGAAGAAGAAACTTTAGTTGACTGTAGAAGAAGAAGCTGTAGCCTGTGTTAGCTCATGTAACTGTCAGCAGTTCTGACCTCCTTTTACAGCGTTTCCATCAGTCTGACCT